TTTTCAATTAGTCAACAGTCAGTATATATTTCTAAAATACTTTTTTAATATCCATTTGTTTGTTTTATTGTTTCATTTACATAAAATATTAATTAATTAAAAAATAATAGCATCGAACTTCTTCACATCCATCATACTAGATTGAATGTTTAATAGTTTATTATTTGTGCTCATTAAAGTGAAACCTTCAGTTCAATTTGTAATTTTCCATTGTAACTGGCGAATGAATTGGGTTAAACAAAAAAGCTCACTGTGGCTCAAATATAAAATACAACACCAAGAATCGCTTCAAGATAGGAAACCCATGTCATAAATTTTGGAATATGGATGATTTACATACAAACTTTACAGGTTGATTTCGTTTTCTTTTATCTACTACTTACGTAAGCAAGCTGTCGTTTGTGGTGAAATAAGTTTAGAAAAGAGGTAAAAACACTCCATCATATTGTTTAATTATTATTCATGTAATAAAAATAAATATTACATAGATTTATTTATATACTGTAGAATTTTATTTCATTCTATTATTATATAAATATGTAATAATACAATAAATATTAATTAATTAATATTAATATATATTAAAATATATACAAGATTAAAAAAAAAATGAGCGAAAAAATCTTTTTTAAAATAAGATATTTATGTATATGTATGTTTATATATGTACAAAATGAAAAACGAATGATGTTTTTTAGACTAGCTAATATATATATGTATAAATATATCTAAAATATGTTCAAATGTATAAAAAATTTATGAATCCTGTTCATAATAAGAATGTTGAAATTTTGAGATTCCAACAATGGTCCAACATAAATAGTCATCAATTTCTTCAACTGTAGAAGTTGACATTGTAACTCCGTCATTACCGCCTCCACCAACGATGCAACCACGACTATTAACTCCAGTGCTATAAACATTTCCATTATTAATGATATTCATTGATCTAAACGGTTCCTTGGTGAATTCTAAATTTTGCATATGAACAACTCGTGATGATTGATATCTTAGGAAAGGTGTTGAGTTCAATGTACAAGATGATGAAGTATCAGAAGAAGTATTATCGGAAGAGGAAGAAGTGGAATAAGAAGATTGTGAATTATTGTTATTATGATGATTGTTATCAATTGTAATTGGACCTGCTGCACTCAAATAAAGTGATTCATATTCATACTCATGATGGTATTGATGATGACGGTGGTGCATATTATTGTTGTTCGATGGTGGTGGTCGTCTTACAATACGTTGTAAAGCGATTTTTTGCATTTGACTTACAGGCCCAGTAGCATTTTGTAATATACGACTTTTTTCAACTTTACGAATAATTAAACGATCGGATGTGAATCCAGTCACCGGGTCACTTAAAATAATCTCTGATCCGTAATTTATTGGTGTGCTTGATGATGTTGATGTTGTTGATGATGTTGTTGTTGCAGTTGCATTACTATTATTATTTACAACAGTAATGATAAAAGAAGACCAGGAAGTATTCCTGGCACATAATCTTCCATCTTCGATTCCCATATACTTTGTTCTTACAGTTTGAGAATTTATACGATTGAATAGTGAGATTTGAGATCCGGATAGAATACACGATGAGAGATTTCTTGCCTTGGCGGTTTTTTTGGAAGGCTTTGAAATTATTGTGATTGGAGATGAATCAAATATTGCAGATGGTGGGATTGAAGTTGAATTTCTTGGCGATGACGAATTCAAAGTGGGGTTTGTAAGATTATCGAATATTTTTAGTTTAAGAGTAAAGGTCTTTGCTTTAGCAGTTCCGCTAACATGTAAAAATTTAAATGTGCTCTTCATATCTTCATCAAGTTGACCATCTAGTTCTAATGATTTCTTACCATTTTCACACATCACCGACATTAAAAGTTCTGGTCTGTTGTGGTTGTTATCGTTATTATTATTAATAAAAAGATTCTTACTGTTGCTACTATTATTGCTTCTGCTGCTGCTGTTGCCGCTGGTTTTATCAATGATCACTACAGGTGGTGGACATAAAAATCTTTTTTCGCTACCATAAGATTTTTGTGCAACAGTTGCATGATAACACGTAACAGTAACCAGTTTAAATTTGTTATTATTGGTTGTAGAGGAGGAGGTGGGGGTGGTAGGGGTGGTGGTGATAGGAGGAATTTCTTGATGAATGCTGAATTTTCTGTATTTTGAAACACGTAGAGAACCATCGTTATTATTATCATCATCATCTTCATCATCGCTACTATTGTTGTTGTTGTTGTTGTTGTTGCTGCTATTATTGTTGATATAATCTATTTTTCTTTTATTATTATTAATAGTGGTGGTGGTAGAATTATTAATGTTGTTGTAATTTAAAGGTGGTGGTGTAGTTGGTGGTGTTAATGGTGATGAATTAGGTGAAGATTGATCTATCACAGCATTGTGATGTTGATGGTACTGATATTGTTGGTGAGAATTGTTTCCAACTGCTTGATTAACACTTGGAAGTACTGTAGTATTACTACTAGTGGTGAAATGATGATAATTTGAAGATGGTGATGAAGGTGTAGATGACAATGTTGATGATGAAGGTGTAGTAGAAAAATGTTGATGATTATAAAGATCGTTTTTATTGATGACTGGTTTAAAATTAGAAAATTTTGAAGCTATTATTCTATTGCTACTGGTAGTATTTATGTCCGAGTATGGTAAATCATCAATAAGAGAAGTTACAGGTGGTGTTATAGGTGGTGTTAATGTAAATAATTGCTGATGTTGTAAATGTTGTTGATGACTATTATTATGTTGTTGATATTGATGATGATGTTGTTGTTGATATTGATGATGTTGATTTTGTTGAAAGCTATTTTTTGGTTGATCGTCATCGTCCACGTCAATTAATGAAGATATTGACATTGCATCGGTTATAGAAGACGTTTGTGCAGCAGGTGTTGGTAGTGGGGTATAATTGAAATTAAAATTTGAAGGTGGAGGAAGACGAAATTGATGATATTCATCACGTTGATATTGTTGAGAATAAGTTTTATTATTATTATTATTATTTAAATGATGTTGATGTTGTTCAGCTGCATTCAAAAGATTTTCAAAATTACATCTACCATTATTATTATTATTATTATTATTATTATTACTGCTAGAGTGCTGCTGATAAGAATTATCGTTATTATTATTATGATTTGAAATGGTAGAGCAACAAGGTGAAGCTGGATAAATATTTGAAGCCGGGTTTTCCATACTTCTTTAATTTTAATTATAATTTGAAAATTTAATTAGTTCGAAAATTTTAGTGTTTTTGTTTGTTTGAAAATAATATATAGATTCAAAAAATTTTATTAAAAAAAAAAAGAAAAAAAAAAGAAAATTCCAAGTTGTTTTTCTACGGTATTTATATATTGTGTGAGATAAATGAGATCAACTTTGCTGATTTTAATTTGATTTCTGGATTTTTAATTACAATAATATTTATACATTATATTATTATTTATATCGTATGTAGTGCAAAATAAACATGAACTGTATAGTGTGAGATAGTGTGGGGGATCAAAAAAGGGTTTTTTATCTTTTATCTTTTATCTTTTATCAGCAAAAAAGATCTGATTATGAATTGCGTTTCCTAATTTATATTTTTTTTCATGAAAATTAATCGGAAATCCAAATACATTACATACATTGCATTGCAGATAAAATAAATAAAAACAAAACTGATAAGAATATTTGTTATCAGTATTTAAATATTTATATGTTGTTCTATTATTTTTTTATATGGGTGATGATGAATTCTCGTGATGAATTTCAAATTGCAAAAACAAACAGATTAAAAAGATACTGCTGTATTACATTCATTATATTAATATTATTATATTATATATTATATTATATTATATATTATATTATATTATATATTATATACTATATATATTAGTACATATCACTCATTCAATTCAATTCCTATTAAAACTATTCCCACGAATATTTGACGCCTACATTGTGAGAAAAGTCAAATAAGCAATGTGTAAATGAATGAATGATTGATTGATTGATTAATTGATTAATTGATTGATTGATTGATTAAATCAGTTGATTAACATAAATGGTAATCATAATTTAGAAATTGGCTTTAGAAATATTAAACTTTAGAATTAAACCTTAAGAATCAAATTATCAAAATTGGAATTTTTGAAAATTTTAAATAATATCAATCAAAAATTTTAAAAAATATGCATCAAGGTAACTAAAAATAAATATAAAAAATCATTTGTATAGATAATCTTTTTTATAATTCATTCATTCATATTTATTTCTCATATTAATTCTCACATTAATTCTTGCATTCATAAATTTCCATGTTTGTTGTCTTATGATCTTATCTATGTGTTCACAAATAAACATTAATAGCTTTCTTATCAGTAGGTTATGTAATTTATTTTTATTTATAATATATTTTATTTATTTATATTATTATTATTGATGTTTGATGAATTTGTAATTAACTATTTGGCATAATTGCATTTATATAAATGATGAATATATTTTATTATTATTTTGTTTGTTTTTAAATATCCGAATTCCACCGATAAGTTTCCCACAAAAAAAAAATTTGTGCATCTTTTTTAAATTTTTGAATCTTCTTCTCTTTCTATTTTCTATTATTTATTCTAATTAATTAAATTAATATTAATTAATTAATAAATAATAAATAAAAAATGTCAACTATCAAAGATAAAAATGCCACATTATCAACATCAACAACATCAACATCAGAAAATAATAATAATGTTGAAAATAATCTAAAAGAATTCGAAATTGCCAATCATGTCAAGTATTTTAAACGTTGTCTAGAAATGTTGCCTGAAAATTATACGAGCAACGACACACTTAGGTAGTATTATTATTAATATTATTAATTTGTAAATAATTTAAAGGATTTAGCAATTGGTAAAAATCATATGATGTGTATATATATATATATTTATCTACTTGCTACTTATGCATACTTGTATCATAGAATGTCATTGGCTTATTTTTGTTTATCTGGATTGGATTTATTGGGTGCCATTGATATAGAAATTTCAAAAGAACAAAAGAAAGATTGGATTGATTGGATTTATTCTCAACAAATCTTGCCTAATTTAGAAAAACCTGGTATTTCATATTTACATAATATATTTTATATATAATATTTTAAATATTTTTTTAAATATTTTTTTTTTTTTGGTCAAATTTTCTTAGAAATCAATGAAAAAATTTGTGGGTTTAGAGGTTCACCATTCTCTGGTACTAAATATGATCCAAATGGAGTAACTATTTTATATAATTAAAATAAATTATTGTAATTATGAATTACTATTATAATTTATCAATATTCATCGTCGTTTAATAAAAAGTAGTCGCGCAATTCGAAATTACCATTCGATGCTGCAAACTTAGCAATGACTTACACTGCTTTATGCTCTCTGCTAACTTTGGGCGATGATCTTGCATGTGTCGACAAGACAGCAATTATTAATTCTTTAAAATATTTGCAAAATGATAATGGAAGGTGATATATTATGATCTTTTTGTTTATGCAAATCATTCAAACAATTAAGGAATGATTATTTGTGACAATTAATTTATTATTATTATTATTTGTTTAGTTTCACACAAACATATCAAGGGATGGAATCAGATATGAGATTTGTTTATTGTGCTGTCGCAATATCTTCAATATTAAATGATTTCAGTGGGATCAACATTTTAAAAATTGTCGACTATATAAAGAATAGTCAGGTAAATAGATACTTATTTGGTTCTGTTTTATTTTTATATTGTTTCGTGTAATTCACGTTCAATTCGTGTAATTAATTTATTAAAGTCATATGATTATGGAATTGGTCAAGGCCCAGGATTAGAATCTCACGGTAATTTAAAACTTATTTTCGTCAACTAACCAACAAACTAATTGGCTAATCACTACCATTAATAATTAATAGGTGGTTCGACATATTGTGCAATCGCAGCTCTTTCAATACTAGATAAAATTGACGAGGGCCTGCTCTCTAAAGATGAAACGATATTTTGGTTATTATCGCGTCAAGAAAATAATGGATTCCAAGGTAGAGCCAATAAGCCTGAAGACACTTGCTACTCTTTTTGGATTGGTGCTTCTTTAAAGGTTGCTAATTAATTTATTTATTTATTAATTATTTTTTTAATTTTGGAAAATATTTATACTCATAAAAGGTACCCATACATATAGATTTTGAAAGCTTTTGATTTTGTTGATTATAAAAGAAATCGTGATTTCTTAATGACTACTCAAACAAAATACGGCGGGTTTTCAAAATGGCCGGATTACTATCCAGGTAAATAAATAAATACACACATACACACATACACATTTAATTAAATAGATAGATAACAAAAAAAAAATTTTTTTTTTCCAAATCAATTCTCGGCTCTCTCTCTTTTTTTTCTATCATTCTCCCAAACCTTTCCTCCAAAAGATGTTTTGCATACTTATATGGGCTTGGCAGGATTATCGTTGATGAACGAGGATGGTTTATCATCATTAGATCCGGAGTTGAATATTTCCTCAAGATCAAAAGATCGATTATTAACATCTTGTAAATTTCATCATCTCCAATGAAAATAAAATACTAATTGATTGTTTGAAGGAAAAAAAGAGAGATAGAGGATTGTATATAATATATATAAAAATATTGTATTGTGTATATATATACCATAGGATTTTTATCTCGTGATCACTAATTAAATTATTTTGATATTTGTAAATTATTAAAATACTCGAGTTTTATTATTATTGACTTTGTGTGTGAAAAAAATTATTTACGAATTTTGTCATACGGCGCAGTAAATGATCCAAACATATTTTTATTATTTTTAGCAATCGATTGGCATTTTTTTTTAAAAATAAATTAAAATGGATTCAACAATTTTGGAAAAATATTTCAATGAAAATGAAAGATTATTAAATACAGAAAATTTTTATGATGTAAAAATATACCTTGGCGTAGAACCAAACATTAAAGAAATTCATGCACATGCATCTATTGTATCTGCGCATTGTCCATTTTTTAGCAATGTATTGACTAATGCAATAAAAAAAAATGGATATTATATTGTTGAAAAAACAAACATTAGTGAAAAATACTTCAACCCTATTCTCAAGTAAGTTTATATTAAATAATTAAATAATTATTATTGAATTTGTAATAATAATATTCATTTATTTATTTGTAAGATTTTTGTACACATGTAAAATCGAATTAGATAATTATACTGGAGTTGATATTTTGCAAGTATTAATTACAGCTGATGAACTTGGTCTTGAGTCATTCTATAATTATATAATGAACTACTTTATTGAAAAGCATGAGGATTATATAAAAGAAAATCCAGTTAAAATTTTACAATCAATTTATTCTAACAATCAATTTGCAGAATTGAAAAGCATCTTCCTAAAAAAAATTTGTGAATTTGGTGAAAATTTATTTCAGTCAAATGAGTTTAAATTATTGGAAAAACCAATTTTATTGGAAATTCTTAAAAGGGATGATTTTTATGTTGATGAAATAGTTATTTGGGAAAATATTCTTAATTGGGGATTAGAAAAACATCCAGAAATCAATAACAGCAAAGTTGAAAATTGGTCACAACAAAATTTTGTTGATATGTGTAATACATTAAAAGAATTTATTCCTATGATTAGATTTCAGGATATTTCTAAAGAGGATTTTTGTTCTAAAATTATTCCATACCTGAAACTTCTTCCAGAGTTAATTTGGAATGACCTTTTACATTATTATATAATTGCTGATAACCAACAAAATTTGAATTTATTACCATCAAGGAATCCTAAATTTGAAATTTTGAATTCAACACTTGAATCATTGACAATCAATCAAAATCTTACTTTACTTTTTGCAAGTTGGATTGATAGAAAAAGTCCACAATATAGTTCATTAAAGGAAGTTAAATATGAATTCAAACTTATATATTGTAGTAGCAGAGATGGTTTAAGTGTAGCTACCTTTCATCAAAAATGTGATAATATCAATAAAACTCTTGTAGTTGGCAAAATACAAAATTCAGATCAATTAGTAGGAGGTTATAATCCATTTGATTGGAATTTAAATAATGGAAGTTATATAGCTAAAAATACAACTGAAAGTTTTATTTTTAATATTAGCAATAGAAATGACATTAATTCTGGACAATTTAGTTATGTTACCAATTATTATCAATATGCAATTTGGTGCCATCCTTCAAATTTAGCTGGTTTTGGTGGTGGTAGTGATCTTATTTTTAGTCCAAACAGCACCATTTACGGTAGTAATCAGTCATATCACAACATTAATATAGTACATGGTAGTAAATATGATGAATTAGAAGTATTTCAAATAATTGATAAATAATAAAATTACAAAAATAATTATTTGTTTTACCAATAAATTTATATGTATTATAGTTAATACAGATATTTTTTTTAAATAAAGGTTATTATATTTTAAAGACTACTATTCTTTTCTCAATAATAATACTTGTCAAACCCTTAACTACATAATATATTCCATTCATTCAACAATAGTATAATAATATTGTGATGTTGTATGTGAAATTGAAATTATGTGAAATTGAAATATTATGGAGTGGGGTGAAATTCTGATTGGCTAATTTG